TCTCTATATACATCTCTCTCTCTCTCTCTCCCAACATAACAGCGACCCCACATAATGAGAGACAATGTTCACCCATGGGGTATGTTTCTTATATATATATAATATACGATTCATTTTTAAGATTTAAATTTCCAAAAATACAAAACTGAGTGCAATACTTTCAGAAAACGATTGAACTGTTTAGTCACACACACACACCCACACATATATATATATATATGCTGCATAATATATAATTCAAAAGACACTACGTTATTGCAAGGTGATGTATTAGATAATTTTTAACTATACATAAAATGATGAGTCACATATGTGTGTGTTTTTTTTTTTGAATTCCAAAAAAAAAAACACATATGTGACTCATCATTTTGTTGGAGTGCGATTTTTACGGAGAAGGTTAAGCTTTCGTTATGGAATTTAGTTTTCGGTAAAGTGAAATTCAAGTATATATTCACATGTATTATTGGGTTTTGTCTGAGAAAATTACAAGCCGAAAGTTTGAAACGACTTCTTGGTCCTTTCTGTTTAGATATTGACGGTTTTTCTTAGCTATAAAAAACTAAAGCCTATAACTAAAACTTGCATCCTTTTGTTTGTGTAACAACCTGTTAATGCAATTCTGACATGATTAATAACGTATCAGTTCATCTAAAGAGTAATTTATAATTCCAAAATCTTATATATTAAAACAGAAGTCATGACTTCTCATTCATGTGTGATTTTTTATAAAATGGACTATCTACTAGAGTTGGTCACATTATATATTTAATCATTAATAACATTCATTAGATTCACTAATAACATTTATTGGGCTTACTATAAATTTTTATTGGGCTAATAAAAATTAGATGATCCATTGAATTTATAGATAGTATAATAAAATACATATTTAAATTAAACTTATAATTTAATATTGTAATAGTATAAGTTAATTAGTTATATATTTTCGAAAAATTATATAGTTTAGTTTTAAAAATGATAAAAATATCATTGTCTAACAATAATTAATCTATACTACATAATAATTAATCATCATTTTCGATATACACACCTTATATAATATATCATTTTCAATATACATACCTGATATAATATATATTAATTTAGAAGTAAAAACAAAATGTTTATATAAAAATAAATGAAAACAAATACCCGCGCGGTTGCGCGGGTTGAGATCTAGTTACTACGTTAAAACCGTAACATATGTAGTTCGTCTAACGAGACATTTACATATGATGACCGAACAACCCATCCTTGGTTCTATCACCCTAACTCGGCAAATGAGATAGTTAAGGTGTATAAAAAGTAATGAATATCTGTATATAGAATAATAAGTATCATAAAGCAATGAATGAGTTATTTTTGAGAAGAGAGAGAGTGAGATAGAGATAGAGAGAGTAAATGCAAAAGCTCGAAAATAGTTAGGGGAGGACGGGAGACTGTTAAGCAATAAGGGATTCCCAAAAGAAGAAAGGCAAAGAGACGAAATGGAAGAGGACAAAAATATCGACAAAAAGGCAAATGAATAGTGGTAGTTGAGATATGAGCCTATTCCATTTATTGTTTAATCCTTTTTATTTATTTTCTTGCCTTTGTATTCATCAATATTTATATATTTGTGTGTGACAGATGGCTAAGGATATGTCATTTGAGATAGAGAAATCATCATCTCCCATTTATTTTTTGTTTTTTTTTTGTAAAACATACCTTTTGTTTTTTTTTTTTGAGAAAAACATACTTTTTCTGATGTTCATCGATTTTCTTTGAATTTTGAATTTCACATTTTTTTAAATTTTCTGACTCTACATTGTAATTCATGAAATATATTTATAATTTATATTGATATATGTAAATCGTCAGAAAATTAATAAAGATATTGTTTCACATTTGTAATATATCAGTGTTAATTATGAACAGAGTTATAGGAAGATCAATAATTTCATTCTATATCCATAATTGCATTCTGCATTTGTGAAAATAGTCATTAATTAATGATAAATTTGAAAATGGTACCAAACTTGTGGTAGAATTAAATTTCACCCAAATTTATTAATGATGTGAAACTGAAATATATTTGATAGTTCATTGGAGTTTGTTTTTTAATTTTTTTTTATAATGGATACTACTTACTTTTCCCAAAAATATTATTCTTTCTGTATTTCAAAATGATATTTTAAATTTTTGCACACAAAATTATTTGTTTTAGTTTACAATTTTATTTGTTCTCGTCAAAGTTATATCATTATATTTGTATATATTAATTTAAAAGTAAAATACATTAATTAAAATTTTAAAAATGAACATTTAAACTTAAAATAAAGTGTAAAACATCAATGTTTCATAAAAATATAAAAGTATAATTAGTTTTTTTTGTGCACTAAATTAAAAGTTATGACAGAGATCAACAATGAACAGAGCAGGGAAGCTGCTTTGCTTTTCGCTCATATCACATCACGCACAGAATTTATCAAATGCTAACTGACTTGAAAGACGTAGTCAAAATTGTAGTATATTTTTGTAATATACATCACTAAAATAATTATAAAAACAGAGGTTAGGATGACAATGATGACGTACTTTCGCAATGATGATCTTTGTCTTAAATGCATTGCCACTGTTTTACTCTCTCCCTCTCTCTCTTTTCCATGGTATTATAATTGTACCGCTGACGCAAACCACATTAATTTTGATTTCTTTGTTCCTTTTGTCCTTGCGAAGATCAAATGTGTTTGAGCTTTATTTCTTTTTTTTTGTATTTGTATTCCAAAGTGTAAAACTCCGTTCATCCAGCAAAACAAACCATTGTGTTCCGTTAATGGTCCCAAGATTCCAAACATTTTTCTCTTTAAATCCACCAACCGAACTATATCTACTACTTATGGTTTTATACAAAAAAAAAATGGAAAGTAAGGAAGAGCAACTTGAAATAGTTTCTAGACTAGTCTTTTCGTATGAGTAACTATATAGTCAATAAACGAGAACTGAATAGCAGCAGACAACAAATTACATGATTCGATTACAATAATTAATCGTCCTTTACGAAACCACACACGCAGTTCACAACATCATGATCACCATTTTGTTCATTACATGCATCTAATGAAACGAGTCTCCAATGAGTGAATGAACCACTTCTTCTTGTTTGGATTGAACAGTAAAACCAATCTCCAAGGCTGTCTTCAACAACTCTGGATGCCCTCTTATTTATGGGAAGGCACCACTTGCAATTATTCTAGGTGCTTTGCTCCATACACTTACTCTTGTGCTGCTACTTCTCTTTGTAAAGCCACACTAATTTTAAAATTCAGCATTGAACATCTTTTTCAATTTTCAAAGAGAATTCCATAACGGCCCAATATACTAAAACTGTGTAGCATATTTCAACCTATTAAGTGGCCCAAACATAAACATCAGACCCAATAATATATAGTATCAGTCCAACACCTAACATAGCATTCTCCTTTTCCTTCATTTCCCTCACCCCTATAACAAATCTCTCGCATCACCCACCACATTCCTCCACTATCATAGTCCATAAGTTAGAAGAGAAAACATATGGAATCCACAAAACTTCTCATATCCCCATCAACCGTATATAAGTTGATGTCGTGGATAGCTCAATTTTTGTTTGATTCCGTGACATTGGTCTCTGAGGGTGTTTGATTATTAGCTCTTGTATGAGTTTGATCCGTGGCTCTTGTGGGATATATTAGGTGTCACTGGGAGAGTTGATAGTTATCATAAGATCACGGTCTGCTCTCCGGTGGGAATGTTTCCATTGGTTGTTGAGGTTCTTTTGACATTGTATTCCGAAGTACATTTTGACTGATAACCTCCACCCTCTTGTAGCGTCAGAATGTGAATGTTGGATCCAACCAATCTAATTCACGTTGGCCAATTAACATTCTGTGTGTTTCGATGATAAGTCACATCACAGCAGAATCAGCTCGACCAATAGCTCTAACAAACATCCGCTCCGTTTCATCATATCATTATTCAAGTAGAATGACTATATCCCTTTGTTAAAAAAATAATAACAAAAAAGTAATGACTTTATCCCCTCTTCTTGAGGGGCATATTAAAGAATGAATAATTATACTGATTATGATATTCAGTCTCTCTAATCATATTTTTGATACAATATCTATAAATATTTTTTATACAACCTCTATAAATATGTTAATTTATCATTAATATTTTAGGGTCCGACTGGGGATTAGACTGTTGAAATTTTTAGTTAGTTTATAGTTCTTACAACCAACATTTGCTAATTTTAGTGACTTTTGTTGCGGATCTCTCTTGCATCGTTTTTAACTTAAAAAAAATAGAAAAAAAGAGAAATACAATAATCTCTTTGCAAAGAATCTCTGGTTAATTTTATAAGAGACTATGAGAATATGTGTCCCTGTCCAATTGCTTCACTTTTTTTCTATCCATAAAAATTTAATCACAAATGTAAAGTATATTCATAATACTCATATTTTAAAGAAACTCAAATGATTTTTTCTGACTGGTGCAGATGTCCTAAGTGGTTTTCAAAAGCCAGCAATCTATTGGTTTAGGTTTTTTCTAAAACAACCGACAGTTTTTAAAAAAAAACTAAAGTTTCTAAAGTTTTTTTTTTTTTGTAAAACCACAGCCATCACAATTGCAAACAATCGGAGCCTTGATCTCTGTAGTAGTTACTCTAGTTATTTTATTTGCTTTGTATATGAATGTGTTATACGTACATTGAATAAGATATGAGAGCAATACAATTCTTCCAACCTATCTCATCACATTATCATACTTCTCATATTACAAATCAAAGAAACTGAGGTACCAAGGACAAAGAAACGAAAGAAACTGATGATAGATTTGTTTCAGACAAGCAAATATAGGTTCAACATTTGGTAATGAAACAAAACACAAAGATATTACAAAGGGAACATGCATTGTTATTGGAGAAAAGAGAGTGCAAGGGAGTTATGTTCTTGAAGACATTAGACAAAACACAGTTTCTACTCGGGAGCCTGGAAAGGCTTGAAATCCTTAAGACTTTGTATAAGTCCTTGCACAGATCCAGCAGCAGCAACGAGTGAGACTAGGAAACAAGCCCAGCTCAAGATTTTCAGCCATGTCCAAGTGAAAGAAAATTTCTTCATCTTTTTCTGAGCAATATGCATCTCAATGGGAAAGTAAACAGTCAAAGGCCAAAAGGAAGCTGCTCCAATAAGACCCAAGAAATCATTGAAGAAAGGGAAGATCATTGCTACAACCGCAGTGACTACAACATATGAAGTCCTCCAAACCAATCTGAACAAACTGATACCAAAAACACCACCGCAAGGGACGTTGACTTTGTATTCTCCTGTAATGAACTTGTTATCTGGCCAACGTTTTGCACTCTGACTCTCTACAAATTGAAAGATTGGCTGGCAAAAGACCTGATATGCCCCAACTAGATGCACGGCGATGCAGACATTGGCAAAGTCAATTAGCCAGAAGGGCTCATAAAAGCCAAAACCGGTTAGGAAGTTTCCAGGCGCATTGTTGCCAAAGGCAGCATAACCTACACACCCGCATAACATGTAAAAGAAGGTCGTTGTGGATACACCCACAAGGCTTGCTCTTTTCATGGCTTTGTTTTCTGATGGTGGACTTGCTTTTAAGGTGTCCTGTCATGGTTTAGAGATGAACAGTTGTACATAGTTTTAGTAGATCAAAAACACACAAAATTTAGTTTACTAAATCGTTTACAATTATCTGAAATGATAACACGTAATTGGTGACTTTAATGTTATTTAATCAAAAATATTTAAAATAGAAAATTAACTAATTAATTTAAGATTTGATTATATACAATTTTGATTTATTGTTTTTGTTAATTTTATTTGCTTCCCAATAAAGTTTTACCACTTTTATTTTTAATATTTTAATTTATTAGCAACATGCATTCATCAAAGTCAGAATATTAATATTTTGTATATAAAAAAAATCAAAAGATTAATCCTTTTTATATATGGAGGGAGTATAAGTAACTGTGTGTGCAGTTGTAAACCGTTTGCAAAATTAAGTAATTTAAAATTATTTCTTGGATTAAAACCTACTAGTTGTTTCCTCTCAGGTTTACTACAAATAATTATTTATTTCTAATAATAGTAGGGGTGGCTCATGCAGTGGTCTTTACTTTGTAACAAACCGACACACGGTTAAATTTTATTTGGGCTCTCTCTTATCGTTCCATTTCAGTGTCAGTTTAGGGCTAATTTTGTTTTACACTGAGTGTTGTTTTAGAGTTTGCAATACAAAGTTTTAACATGAGTGTCAATTATAACAATTTTTTTTTTTAATTATCTGGAAGTTCTGGAGACAAATCCCATAATCCTCTCTGAAATCCGACGATATCATGAGAGACAAGGTCCATGACGTAAATTATCCCTTCCACGGTGAATCTTTACGGTGGGATCGAACTCAATAACACCAACGCCTGTGCTTAAACTAACTAGGATACCACATTCGTGGTAATAACCATATTTTTCATTGTATTAAATTATAACATATGTTGTATATTAGGTTATAGTGAAAAAAAATAAGTATATTTTTCTTAGCAGGTGTGCGAGATGTTTAAAAAACACTTTAAATTAAATTGGTGAGTACAAAATATGAGTACGTTAAAGGTGACAACTTACCTGAATCTCAATAAGTACGGTTGAGTAGGCATAAGCAAATGCGATGTCTCCAACCGCTTGGAATGTTCTCCATACTTTTTCAGAACCAGTAACATCAACTCCGACCGTAACTCCTGTCAGGGCCGTCCTTGCGTGCACACCGCCACCTTGTTTATTCTTCAAAACCATTAGGACTCACTTTTAAAGGATGAAATTAATATAAGGATAAGAACGTGTATTTATTTACCAGCCACTTTGGCGATGGAGAGACCGACACCAATGGAGGCGTAAGAAAAGGACATTACGGCCGCTAGAATGGAGAGCCAAGAGAGGTTGTGGAAATTTGGGATTTGGCTAAGTAGAATTTGGATGCATGCGAATATGATCATGAAGGGAGTGTTTGAAGTGGAACATTTTACATTATGTCCATTCTTGTGGAAACAATTCGATCTCTTCACTGCCCTGTTTTCATGAATTCTTAATTTTGTCACTTTAATGTTTTCTTTCTTTCATACTTGAAACCCCATTCCCTAATAAATATAAATATATAAAGTTCCAGCAAGAAAAAACAATTATAAATTTAATTAGAATACAAAATCTCAACAATCCTAAGAGATCTAACTTTTCACTTTGAAAATTTGAACTCCTTTTGACTTCCACACTCAATATAATTTAATTTATATTACTCTGTACATATCATATTAACTTTAACAAAGAAACACTTTTGTAGATATTATATATCATAGCTCTTAATAAACGTGGTTGAAAATAAGTGAAAAAGGAGAGCCTGTTATTATTGACTATGATTCTCAAAGAAATAATGAAAGCTTACACCATGCTAATCGACGCTGTGATTGTGTAGCCGATAGTTATTCCAATCAAGTTCCCGTATTGAGCCAATCCACATAACATCACTTTTCTTCCTCCTATTTTTTCCCATAACATCAATAAACATATATAAGCTATTTTGTTATATATAAATCATCGTTGCTGAGTTAAACAATGAAAAAACTGTATAAATAAGTCAGGGAAAATGGTCTTTTTCGACCCTTACTATTCGCAGCATGCCTTTTACAAAAGATAAGTGATAAATACGGCATAAACTAAAAACTAATTTGAATTGTAGACATGTACTCTGAACAGTGTACATAAAAAGTTGGGTATTGCCATAAGTCAAGTTGACGGGTTTTCTGACAAGAGTTGAAAACCCGACTTTTTTCTAATTATACTATTTGGGTATTGAATTGTAGGAATGACAACCCACCGTTAATTCTTAAAGTTTTGATTACTACTTTTTTTTTCTTTTCGTTTTAGTAAGTTCTTAAATTTTCCATCACTGAACCATAGTTTCCTTTTTTTCTTGTTTCTTCTGTGAGAAGTGTTAAAGCTAAGTAAGAAAAAAAATCATAATTATTGAGCATTGGTGGAGGGGGAGTATCTTTTGATAGTTACTACAAGTGGGATGGAGACAACGAGAAGACTCTAAGAGACGATGTTGAAAGAATCAATCACATGGGATGGGAATACTAAACATGTCAATTTCAAGAAATACTTTCACATGATATTTAATACAAAACACACACACACACACACACACACACATATATATATATATGTATAAACTGTGTAATAATGTTTACTAAAATACATAATTTCGTCTCAGAATTTGTCTTTTAAATGTTATTGTATTATATCAGGATAATTAAAAAAAACAAAATGCAGATAGTAAATATATTATAAGCAGCATGAATAAGAAGAAATATTTTAAAATTGAAAATTAAACTGTTTAATATTATTTGAGAAATAATTTTCCTATATAGCATTCTCAGTTTAATTATTACAATGATTTATTACATTGATATCCTTAATGAATTGAGTTTATTATATAATTTCCATTATTATTAATATTTTATTTTTATTTTCTTTTCATTAATACATTCCCTTTTTTAAAAAGATTGTTATCAAAAAGGAATTTCATATAAAAGACTTATATTTTCTAATTTTTATTAATAAAAATATTATGATGGTTTATTACTAATTGAGTTTATTATTATAACTGCCATTGTTAATATTTTTCCTCTTTTTTCTTAATCCATTTCTTATATAACTATTTTTTTATAAGAAAGGCAACTCATATAAAAACAATATCTATAGATATTTTCATTTTTTATTCATTAATAAAAATGTAATATTTTATGAAAATTTCTTATAAACCCATATTTTTGGAAATGTTTTTTTATAGAAAGGTAATATTTTTACTATTAAAATACAAAAGTTTAATATAGGTATGTACAGAGATAATTCAATTAAAATGTATTAAATGTTACTTTGTTTTATATTTAATAGTAAAAAGGCAATATTTTTACTATTAAATTCAAAAGTGTACTATATGTAATTTTTCCGTGCTCATACGCGATATACATATTTATAAAATATCTAAATCCTACTAATTGATTAGTATCGGTTTTTTCAGTTTTATAAGTTTTAGACTGTTTTATAATTTCTATGTATGAAAATAAATAATAGAGTTTTTAAAATCGATATGCTTGTTTGGTTAATCTTTTGGGTATATGAAATTATATTGATTCATTCTAATTGAACCAAAATGGTTTCTTGATTCTAAATAGGCTAAAGCCAAATTAATTTTATTAGTTGAATTTAGTTTGTTTTATTATCTTGGTATGTAATATATTTTTTTAAATTATGTATAATTTGATATATGTTATTTGAAAAATAAACATGAATGTATTGTCGATTCAGAATTGCATATGCAAACATTATTTTTCTTGTTTGAAAATTCATCATATGTATGAATATTTACGAAACTAAACTGTATATTTTATTAATATATGTTGTTTACTTGTTCATTAGTTTTGAATTTTTTGTTACATAAAAATTTAATAAACGACTATTCTAAAAATATGTTTGATGACTTAATTAGATCCCTCTCTTTTATATAAAATTTGGACAGATTAAGTTACTCTTCATTTGATACATTGAATTGCATATATTCATCTGAATTGATTTTAAAATGTTTATTTTTAATTTTTCTATAATTTGCTTTTAATATATATATATATATATATATATATATATATATATATTAAACATAAAATAATGTTTGGTATAATAATTTTAAAAATTCATGCACAAATATAATATTTTTAAAATAAATAAATTATACAAGTTATTTAATTTTTTCTTCTTTAATTTGCATATCTTATATATTAAAACAGAAGTCATAACTTAACTTCATGTGTGATTTTTTTTTAAAAATAGACTATTACTAGAAAGTCATGTTATATTAACTCTCTAATAATCTTATCATTATTATATCTTATGAAAAATCATATCTATAGTAACAAATATACGCTTAACAATTTCGTTTTGATAAATTATCCCACACCTTCCAACTTAGTCACGTAAAATATGTCAATAGATATAAATTTAGGAATCTTCTATTATTTATAAGGAAATATATCAATAATAGTTAAATGCATCCACAATATATTAACAAAAATCACATATTCGTAATATGAAATATTTATATACCCTAACAAAGTTTACACGCTATATATACTAGATAAATTTATTTCGATGTAAATTTTTAAAATTATATTGTTTTAAAAAAAAGAAATTGTTTAAAAATTCTTTTTTAATAAAACTCTTTATAATATTAATTTATGAAGCTATAAATTTAGTTTTTAGCAAAAATTTCTTCGAAGTTTATATTATCTTTGCAAATTAAAGTATACTAATATTTATATTACTTTATCTAAAAATGAAATACTAATCTAACAAACAATAAAATATAGAAGAAGAAAAAAACACATGTTTGAAAAACATGTATGATATAGAAAATTTGAAACAATCTATTTGATTAAAACAAATATTATATAATATTATTATGTTTGAAAAACATTTACTATACATATCGTAAATATGTGATTACTATGATATACATGGTCGGATTTGGACACAGCCGGACGAAACATTCGCTTAGGCCCCCAAAAATTTTAGAAATTTTTAAACTAAGCATAAGCCTTTAAACATTGGCCTTGGCCCCCAATAATTTTAGATTTCTTAAGAAATGTTTCAATCCCCCAAAATCTCAATTCCGACCCTGATGATATAGACTAATTTACAAATGAAAACAAAATGTTTATATAACTAACTATAAACGAAAACAAACACCCGCGCAGTTGCGCGGGTCAAAATCTAGTATGTATTAAAAAAGTTTAATATAGGTATGTGCGGAGATATTTCAATTAGAATCACGTGCGTTGCAAATGTATAAAATGTAACTTTACTGATTTTTGGAAAAGTTCAAAATAATAGCATTAATGAATTATTAGTATATAGCTGATATTTTGTAACTGAATATACTTCGCGATTCCAATAGAAAACAATAAAAAAGAAAATAAGATAGTTGGGAAAAGGACCTAAGTAAGAGCGGACAACTTCCATGTAGGTATAGTTTCGTTTTCCGGTGACAGGATCTGGAGAACGATAACAGTCGGCAAGCATGGTTGATGTAAAGTATGTTATGAAGGAAAAAGCCATAAGTACGGCGGGTCCAGCCACCCATCCGAGCTGTGCAATTGCCCACGCCAGTGACAACACTCCTGACCCTATCACCGCTGTTATTATATGGGCGCTCCCCGTCATCCAAGTCCCTATATGTTCAAATCAGCATACAAACCTCTACTTAAACAAATTAACATAAGTTCTCCTTTTAAAAAGATATATATTCAACGTGTGTAAACGTTAACGCTGCAAAAAAAAAAAAAGAAGTTCATATCATCATATGTATTTTGGGCTTTCTTCGGTAGTTAACAAAAATAGTGTAACGTGCTACAAATCATAGTCTCCTTAGGGGAAATTTACTTATCCTAGCATGCCAAGCTGCCAATACAGAAGCAAAGAAAAAATGCACACATATATACTTATCTCTTTTATATATATATATGCACACATATATGTGTTTCTCTTGCATATATATATATATATAAGAAATAGAAATATAAAACGGAGTAACCTGTTCTTTTCTCGCGTCCATCATCGTCAAAGTTTTTGTTTATGTCACCACTCTTGTGATCGGTGAAGCTTTGTTCAGTGAACATGCTCTTTTTCTCCATAGATAGATTGCCTTTCTGCTATTATGTTAAATAGGAAGAAGAGGCCAGAGGTAGTTTTTTTTTATATGAAGTGTGAAGGACTCTTCTCCATTTAAATAGACAAACCACATTTCACGCCTATTCACTTTCCGTTTCATGTATATATTAATTCCTCTTTTCTTTTCTTTCACTTTCATTATTGTCTTTATCTGTAGTTGATATATTTATTTTGTGCCACGATTCTGTGAGATCCATTAATGTTGAAGGGATTACTTATGCCTTTTCTCAAAAAAAAAAAAAAAGATTACTTGGGTCGATTTTTTTTGTTAACAAATGGAATCGCTTAGTCTCTTTGACTCGATCGTTTAACAATGGCTACTGTAGGGGTTTATGTTGATTATAATTTTACCGAATCACAAATTAAATTATCATTTTCTGTGTGATGGGTGGGAGAATAATTATTGACACACTATCGGTGGCTCTCCTATGTAGTTTCATGCATATTTGGTTTCAAGGTCCACCACTTCCACATTTTTTCTTGATTCCGTAAAATATGAAGGATGAATATTTCACTTCTTAGTTTTTCTTTTCCTTTTTATTCATTGTTTCTTTTAAATATAACTGTACTTATTTTGGGTTAAAATTTAATTACTGTTCTTGTAATAATATTTTCACTGTCTAATATAACTAAATATTCAAAAACAAAAGAATCGTTCCATGCTTTGACCAATATCTATACCTTTTTTGGAAAAACCATTTCATTTTTGATTAATGAAATTCGTGACAAACGTAACTTACTTTTTTCAATAATTCATTTGATAATAATGATGTATTTTCCTAAAGAATCCCCTCAAAATTTCACAATTCCACAATCTTCTCTCAGTACCATTAACAATGATGTCTTATGAATCTGTTTGCAATTGGTCCAAGTTTTAGGATCTTTTGAATAAAATAAACTGTTTATACAACGACAAGAGAGTGTGCCAATTACAAAAGGGACTTTAGTGGGCAAAATTAATCACGTTCATAGAATTTCGCTTTTGATTTTTCAACGAAACTTGGAACCAATCACGGTTTTCCTTTCTATATTCCTTTTCAACCAATATGATGATAGTTGACTTTTCCACAAGTCTGCTAGTTTTTTTCTTTCCATTACATTATGCATTATCCTGATTTTTACTATGCAAATATAACACAAATAGTGGAATCACTTCGGTACAGTCTCACTTTGTTTAAATAGTGTAACAATCCGCCTCGTGGAATCCAGGCTGATCCTGTAGAGTATCGACTTTAATTCTTCATCTGTAAATTTGAATTTTTTTCCAGATAAATTGTCAATTAAATGATAATTTACCATGCGAGAAGATTGTTAAATACTTAAATGGTGAAATTTTAGGTTTTAGGAACATTAAGCGCACCAACAATCTACCTGAAAAAAATTTAAAACTTACATATGAGAGATTGGAGTCGGTAATCTGCAGAACCAATCTGACTTCCATAGAATGGATTGTTACAAATACGTGGTTGCAGATTGGGGTACGACTATACCAGAGTCTGCAATCTTAGGAATGTGTAAGTAAGAGTTTGTGGATGTAGAAATTTGCAGATATAAATTATTACATTTTGAAATATCATTAACAATTTTTTATGGCTGGCACATCGACTAAAAATGAAAGCATTTACAAAATACATATAATTGGTTAAATAGTAGATGCAACATCGATTCGATAATAAGTTAACAATATTAAAATAATGTATAATTACTACATATCAAATTATATAATTCTTACAAATATAAAATTATTCTATATTATTAATAAATACAAAATTTAATTTTGTTTTGTAATTTACATAAAATAGTTTTAATAAAGAAAACTATTCTCTTCATTTTTTTGGATTTAAATATATGCATATATATTAATGGTTAACAAATAAAAATATATTTTTTAAAAAATGCTTATAGTATAAATGATGGCATTGGTTAGCGCTTTCACTTAGAAAATATAAAAATATATTAATATATATGTATTTATAATATCTCAATTTTAATTTGCTATTTTCATATAAGCATTAATCCTTTTAATTTTCAATTTGAAATTACCCAGAAAATCAATATACATTACCAAATAAAGTGTTCAAAAATGCCAAATAAAATATTTTACTTTTGAGGAATTTTAGTTTTCACGAGAAATTTTTAAAATTCTCACAATAATTTAACATCTAATTTCGTATAAGATTACTTATTATGTTTATCAAAGATACTTATGTTTAAAATTAATATATATTTCTAAGATTTAAGTCCTTTTAATCTACAAAAATTAAAAATTCGTTACCACCAATAAACCATCTGTTATAATAACACCATATGTTATGATATTAAAATTTTTTTGTTTAACGTGGTGTATTATATAACAAGATATAGTGTATTTTTTAGCTATAGTTAACAAGGAAAGCTAAAAAGTTAAGAATAAAAATTATTAAATACTTATAAATTGCATTTAAAATAGAAATATTAAATATGAATAAATGCGATATAGAAATATTTAATCATTTTCTTTTTTAGCTATAGTTACATTTATATCTAATCATTTTATATTTTGATATATAAAATGATATAGAGTTAGCATACAATATATCTTTTCTATAGGTAGTTATAAATCTTAAGACAGATTCAGAGTTTTCATGGTTATTGTTTCTAATCATAATGATGACTGATTGTGGTGGTGGTAGATGCCAAAGATAAGAATTTATAATTTTATATAAAGTGGTGGTGGTAGATGTGAAAGAGAAGAATTTAACTTTTAAAAATTAACATAGAACAAAAAAACTTGAAAATGAAATATGTTAGTTTGGAAATCACCAGTTTTTCTAGAGTTTTTATTTAATGGTTTAGATATTTTTGGAATTAAATCACAAAAATCTCATAAAAATATCTATAACTCTATTTCTAAAGCAAAAAAAAACTTAAAAAGACAGCTTCAACCGATCAAATTTAACACAATTTCTTCGGTAAATATTTTTAAGAATTCGCTCATACAATGAGACATGATTAATTATTCTTTTGAAAAAATAGAAAAGCAAGGAGAAGAAGAGATACTGTCTTTTTTTTTGGAAATTAATATTTTAAAGTTTTGAGATACTACAGTGTCATGTGTTACTATTTGAGTGATTCAATTAGTACTAAAATAACTATGTTTTTCAAGAGATTCTTGTAGTTGTTTTGTTTATAATCGAGTGCCTTCGCCCCACTAAAATGGTCCAGACTAGAGATCGATCTTTGCATGGACGCACACTCGAGGGTGAGTACTAGCTAGGTGAACACGATCTTTGGTCTCAGGTGTTGTAGATAACACATGTAAAGACCTTATTGGCTAATGCAAATCAAACTCGGAAACCGTACTTGCAGCCATAAATCCGTTCACCACCAGACTAACTCATCCTAATTGATTCTTGTAGTTTCTATATTTCTGAAATTCAGGAATGCAGAAAGTGAAAGCTGGCATTTCCATATGTAAAGCCATTGTCTTCACTAATCGAGAATAGTTTCCTGCGAATCTAACATCCGAATATTGTAGAATCTTCATACACTCCAAACCACAAGTTAAAGCTTCAAATTCTACATCTAGAGATATTTTTTTTGTCAGATATTGTTTGTCCTCCATAATGCTGGGAAACCCACATGATTAGAAAGAATCCTAGAAATAGCCCACATTTGAGTTGTTGTTAGGCATTCAAACATTATGTATCACATTTCATTCCACGTTTATTTAATTTCTAAGTAACATGTAATGTGTAAATTACTTACCATATAAAATGTTTCAGCTTCTGATGTCACTATAAACTCCAAAAAAAAAAAAAAATCAGTAGTGATTTAGTAGTATACAGTTCATAAAGCCCCTTCCTTGCTATCATATTTGAATATAATTTTTCAGTTATAAATTCTGATGTTACCATATAGTTTTGTGTGCTGTAAAATGCCATCCATACTGAAATAGATGTTCAAGTTTTCACTTTAATTTAGCCTTTTTAAGCAGAGATCGAGTTGAAATGTTATTTCTCCCTTTATATAAGGTGAGAATCTTATATATTAAAACAGAAGTCATGACTTGACTTCATGTGTGATTTTTAAAAAAATGGACTATTACTAGAAAGTTATGTTACATTAACTCTCTAATAATCTTATCATTATTATATCTTATGAAAAATCATATCTATAATAACAAAGATACGCTTAACAATCTGGTTTTGGTAAATTACCACACACCTTTCAACTCAGTCATGCAAAATATGTCAATAGATATAAGTTTAGGAATCTTCCATTATTTATAAGGAAATATGTCTATAATAGTTAAATGCATCCACATTATATTAACAAAAATCACTGATTTGTAATTTAGAATATTTATATACCCTAACAAAATTTACCCGCTATATATATTAGACAAAATTTATTTCGATGTAAGTTTTCTAAATTATATTGTTTTAGAAAAAGAAACTTTCAAAAAAATTCTTTTTTAATAAAATTCTTTATAATATTAATTTATGAAGCTATAAGTTTAGTTTTTAGTAAAAAAAAATTTGAATTTTATATTATCTTTGCAAATTAAAGTATACTAATATTTAATTAAGCTCTATTTATATTACGTTATCTAAAAATGAAATACTAATCTAACAAACAATAAAATATAGAAGAATAAACAAACACATGTTTGAAAAACATGTATAATATAGAAAATTTGAAACAATCTATTTGATTAAAACACTTATTATATAATATTATATTATGTTTGAAAAAAATTTACTATACATATCGTAAATATGTGATTACTATAATATATACCAATTTACAAGTGAAAACAAAATGTTTACATAACTAACTATAAACGAAAACAACCACCCGCGCGGTTGCGCGGGTCAAAATCTAGTTTTTTTATTAAATCCAAAGGTTTTTTGAATGAGTCTGTTTTCTGTTAATTGTGTTGCCTTCATCAAGCATGAATCCAGATGTTATAACTTCGACCCGTTAGACCTTTAATCTAATATAATATAAGCTCTTGTTTAGAAAAACTTCCAAAAAATCTGATAAGTATATCTAGAACTATGAAAACTCATAATTAATAAGTAATAACACAAAATGGAAATAGCAAAGAAACTAAAATAAAGATAGGAAAAGCGCATAATTCCTAAAAAGGCATAAAGGAATTAGCAACAATAAAGTAGAAAGAACACAAAACCGAGTACGAAAATAATATTTGCATCATCAAGCTTCCCATAAATAAAGCTTCGAAGTTTGTTAAAAACAATAAAAAAGGACGTTCATGGCGTTTTATATATGAAACTATCTTTATAAACAGCTCGACAGCGCATCAAGAGATTTCTCTCTCTCTAATATATGACACTAAAAATAATTATCTGATTGACAGAAATTCCAACTAAGTTCATATGTTTCGCGGGTCTTTTCGTTTCCTTAGCAGCCAGAGCGTCAGCACCATCTTTTCTAGCCGCTTTTCTTCCATTCCTGCGGCAGAAAACGCAAAGGATTCTGTTATTGATTTGACTCTGAACTCGGTGGTGAAAGTGTTTTGCCTCTCTTCCACGTCTAGCGTTTTACAACCATGGCAGAAAAAGCTGCCCACAAAAAAAAGTGGCTCTGGTAAGAGTTAGACATATGTCACACTTTTGTGGAATTTTCTTCTTTTGTATGTTTTCAAAACAATCACATAACGGAATGACGATTCACGTTTAGCGATTGCTGCAACGTTGCGTGCGTGTTATAGGTTACTTAATTAGGCTGTTACGTACGCTTGCATGTTTGTTTTCTTCTGTGCATGGTTTAAATAATATTCTGCTTCTAATTGATGTAGGATTTGTGATATCAAACAATAAGATTCTTACGAACGCTCACGTAGTGTCTGATCACACATTCGTGCAAGTCAGAAAGCATGATTCACCAACAAAGTTCAAAGCAAAAGTCGAAACGGTTGGTCATGATTGTGATTTAGCTATTTTGAAAATAAATAGCAAAAAGTTTTGGAAGGATTTGAAGCCCTTGGATCTCGGAGACGTACCACCTCTTAACGAAACTGTGTTTGTTGTTGGATTTCCTCGAGGTAAAAGTCAGACTGAGTTTAGGAAAATAATAGAGTAATAAAACTAATTAAATTGACCATATATGGTATTTATTTGCAAATATCTTTCGATGATATTTGTGTATATGTTATCTTATGTTTTGAAAGATGATTTTTGAGTCCTGACCACTGGATAATTAACATTTCCATGGACAGAGGACCGACACGTGGCAACACGTGATTAGTCTGGACCATTTTTGTGGGATATGATACCTCTATATAATTAAAAAAAAGAAGAAGATGATTTTGGATAATGTTATGTGCTCACTTTGCAGGTGGTGATAACATTTCCATTACAAAAGGTGTTGTCTCTAGAGTTGAGGTTACAAAGTATGCTCACAGCAAAGCTAAGCTAATGACAATACAAACAGATGCTGCTATTAATTCTGGCAATAGTGGTGGACCAGCATTCATGGACAACAAAGTTATTGGTGTAGCGTTTCAAGGTCTTACATCTTCACAGAACATAGGGTGAGTTGAAACAGTTCTTTGACTATATATATAGAGGAAAGCTTTATAACCTAACCGGTTGGTGATTTTCATATGCAGCTACATTATCCCAACTCCAATAGTTAAGCATTTCATAACTAGTGTTGAAGAAAATGTTCAATTCCCTGGGTTTTGCTCATTGGGTATATCTTGCCAGAGTATGGAGAATGCTGGAATCCGTCGTCTTTTCAAGATGACCCCTAAAATGACAGGGACTCTAATAAGAAGAGTAGACCCGTTGTCGAGTTGTTATGGTATTCTTAAAGAGAAAGACGTTCTTCTCTCTGTTGATGGTGTTTCAGTAGGAAACGATCAGACAGGTAACATTTACTATTATATATTAATCAAAAATCTTGATTAATTGGTGTAAAATTATTAAATTTTTCAATGTTTGGTACAGTTGTTTTACGGAAGACCGAAAGCATTGATTTCAATCATTTGGTTTCTATGAAGAAACCATGTGAAAAAACATCACTACAAATATTAAGAGAGGGAAAAAAACATGTATTCAGTATCAATATAAAACCCGTAAGTTAATTTACGTCCATTTTTTTTTCTATTCATGCATTGGCTATGTAGATTTATTTTAATCGCTGGTTCACGTTTTGTGTTATGTATTGTGTACGCAGGTGAAAGCACTGATCCCAGAGTATAAGTATGATATGCTTCCAAGTTATTACATATTTGCGGGTTTTGTCTTTTTGCCTCTCACTCAGGCATACATGGACATTGCTCCTGTAAGCGAAAGTTTACCAGGAAAAGTTCCCAAAACAGCCGGTGAACAAATAGTCATACTTTCACAGGTTTGTTTTTCTTTGTTTTAAACTTTTTTCATGTTGAGTTGTTAATAAGAATTAGGAAGTTGGAGCTACTATTAGGAATAAGAAGAATATTCAGGCATTTATTTGTTTGTTTTGGAGCAGATTTTAGAGGATGACATCAATACAGGCTACAGAGATTTAGAAGATTTGCAGGTAACGTGTGTTTTTAGTTCATGTTTGTATTGGTTATAATATGCGATGTGAGTCCATGAATTCCGTCTCAGCTTTGGAGTTTAACGTTAGAAACTATGAAAATATCTGAATCATATAGTTTCACACTAATAAGTTAGTTTTTCTTGAATAAAAGAATATTGATTGCGGTGAAAACAGGTAAAGGAAGTGAATGGAGTGAGAGTAGACAACATGAAGCATCTTCTTCAGCTCATAGAGAAATGTTGCACGGATAATTTGAGACTGGACTTAGAAAGGGGTTATATCATCAACATTGACTACAAATCTGGGAAAAATGTCAGTACCAAGATTTTAAGACGTTATGGAATACCGAACGCCATGTCTAAGGACCTTCAATCTCTGAAGGTGGATTGTAGCTAACATAAAATAATTTATTAAATCCACAAAATCATCACTTAAGTTGTAATAGGGTCGTTGTATTGCGTAGCCAATTTTTCTTTCTCCTCATCTTTTAATCGACTCTTTTATATTTTTCTTTGTTTCGTGAAGATTGATTTTTCTAGGCTTCCTAGAACTAACTTATTAATAAATCAACATACAGAAAACAATTATTCGTAATAAAAATCAGTAATTTGTATAACAAAGGTATGACACAAGAGTGTAGACTATACATGACAAGATAACTCCTCTAATGAAAATATGAATTACAAAAAAAAAAAGGAAAATACAATAATGAGTAATGACAAATAGAATATTAAAGAAACAGAATTATAGCCTGAGCCTAAATTTGCAGCTACTACTTTGAATCTTAATAACATTATTTGCAGCCAAGCTATCCACAAATACATTACATCTAACCAGGAATCTCACCTTCATCAGCTTCAACTTCCCTAATTTGATTCTAACCGGTTGGTTAACTCTTAATCTCAATGGTATATTCCCAGTTCTTTGTTGCTGCTCTCGTAATGTAGTCATTATATCCGTTGCATCCCGAGTTTGGCCAGTCATTTCTACATATATCACTGTCGTATTTTCATGTCCCTGATAGAATTTTGGCAATGACCCTACAAAAACCACAAAAATCCATTTTAATTAATATCTGGATTTTGGATACAATATTAATAAAATTTAATCAAACAAAAACAGACAAAAATGGATAAATCAGTTTTTATATTTTTTACAACAGTTAATCGGTTTGTGTAAAGTTTTGAAACCATCCTAGTGTAAAAAACCAACCCAAAGGAAATCGAACCGGAACCAACCGGATTATACTAATATTTTGAAATTTTTGTTAGAGGAAGCAAAGTAAACCAAAAAAAATTAAACCGGAATAAACCAAATACGAACGTACCCTGGCTGAGTTTGGCTTGCGTGTACCACACGGTAATCTTGCTCCCATTTTCATAATAAATCCCGATCTTCTCGTTCGGATTCTTAGCAGTTATAGTCACGTTAAAAGCCGTGGACAAACTCGAGTCTTGGTTAAGTGCAAATTGTGTGAGCTGCAACCGGTTAATAGAGTAATCCGGTAGCTTCGGTTTAAACACAAGGTAGAGTATACCAATCGTCGCGCCTACTACAACAACAAGGAGCAAGAGAAGGCAGAGTGTGTAACACACGCACCTGCAGCAACAGCTTCTTCCTCTCTTCCTCGGTGGAGCCAACGGTGTGTATGGTATGGACCGTTCGGGCCGTTGGGTCAAAGGGTCTTTGGCCGGGTCTCCTTGTTCTGATCTAGAGGCAGCACGTGGTACCAGAGGAGCCGATGGTCGCACCGATGCGGCTTCCGGGTCATGGACCGGGTGTATTTTCGGGTCATGAGACATTTGGGAGAATTCTTGATCACACAAATACGAAGAAGAGTTTTGTGTTTGTGGATGATCTTCTTTAGGGGTTAGGGAGATATAAAGAAGGAGATGTGACTTTGAAGTATGGGGTTTTAAAGTCAACACGGTAAGAAGTTTCAATGGAAAGACTATCTTTCAAGATTTTCTATATATTAATTTGTTTATATATCATAACCTATTTTGTTCAACAAGAAATGAATTTATGATTTTTGTTTATTTGAGTATATATGATGTTATGTTTTTCCATCAACACCTCACACGTGTTTCTGAATTTGTTTTTGTGTTTTAGGTAGCGGTCATATATGGGAATTTGATGTGAACCCATAAAAGAAAATCTAAGTTTTAGTAGATTAGGTAGCAGATATTTATGTAATTTATATATGTGAAATTGCAATAGATGGCAAAAATATGACATTTTAGGAAAGCAACCATACCTTATCACACAATTTATATAATTTAAGCTATTTGATATCATTCCTTTCTTAATAATGTTTATCTTGCTTTCCTTTTAATCTCTTCCCTTTAATCTTTTACTCTTTATCTCTTCAATCTGTTCTTCTAATCTCTTCTCAGATACTGTTTCTTTATTTTTCTTGTTCCTTAATCTGTAAAATAAAATTGAAAACATGTACACATGAAATCGTTGTAAAATAAAATTGACATATATACACTTCAAATCGTCTTTTTCCAGAAAATAATTTTAATCTACAAAATAAAAATGAACATGTTTTCGATATGTTGATGTCCCTAATTTTATTTTGTACGTAGATGCTATTAACGATATATTGTACGGTTGCCTAACATCATTTTAAAATATTTTTATAAATATACAAATAAAGTCAAAATACATTTGTTGACCTAACCTCCTAAGACTTTATGGACCAGTGTTCTCATGCATTCCGTCATGGTTCTATTTTCTTGTTATATATCTTTTCAAAATGCAACTGGATCTTATTTTCATTAAATTATTATGATTCGTCCAAGTAGAAACACATTCGATACAAAACAACTATTACTGATGTTTTGTGTGCTGTCGTATAGTAATAAATATCGTTGTTGGAACATTTGAACAAAACTTTCTAGAAAACTATTCTTCTGTTCCTCAAGTGGTCTTTTTCGGATTTGAAAATAAATTTTGTATTCGCTTACAGAATTGGAATAACCATAACTCTAGAATATCACAAAAGAAAGCTTGCGTTTGCGGTTTAGGATACACAAAGCAGACAGACAGCAAGACAAACTAATTCAAATAGTTTTACAATCTTGTCTTAGTTCAGGCTTTCTCGTACATCATTACTATTTTCAATCAATGCACGACGGGTTTCAAAGGATGAGCTCTCAGTTTCGAAAAGTCCAGACTAGCATCGAGCTCTTCGTCCACCTCTCCAATAACACCTCTGTTAAAAAAAATGACACAAAACAATTGTAGTGTTAGATAATCAATCAATCAATCGGTCAATGCTTGGTCAACATGAAGATGTGAGGATGAGATTTTACATGTTGTCGCCTCTGATAATGTACAAACCCAACACATGTTGTTGTACTCCTTCCTGATATGTCAAGACACGTAAAACACCAACACATTCAGAGACTGAAAAGCATAGTAAGATGTCTCAATGCTCAAGCAGCCTATCTTAAATGTATATTCCTTATATATTCTGTTGAAAAGATGGCACTACAGTAAATATATCAGACAAAGAAAGGTGTTCGGACAATTAACAAAGGTTAATACTATAATCCAAGTGAGCTTGTCCCCTCTATTTTTCTAGTCTTATCAGTTCACTACACAGAGATTTGGAGTGCTAACACATCACAGAAACATGACGAAAATGACTATCGCTAGACCATTCAAGAAGACTACCCATCAGGTCACAGAATAGTGTTTACACCCATTTGATTGAGTGATAAGGCAAAGTTCAGATGAAATACTAAAAAAAACAGAAGCTTACCTTAGTGGAAAAGACGCGTTCATGAGATTCATCTAGAATTATATTAGTAGCCTGGTCAAAACCTTTGAGAACTCCCTGATATATAAACAAGTTCTCTTTGCTAAGTTAATTGCTTTTGAAATCAATATAACAAAACGAGAGAGTAATAACAATACCACAATGTTGCGACCATCGTTTGTAATAACCGAAATGATCTCTGCAACACAACCCAAAAGATGAGATTTTTCAGACAACAACCCATGAGACAGAACATCAAGAGTGGTGATTAGTGAGAAGAAAAGTAAAACAACTTACGATCCACAAGAGACTCAAGTCCAGTAGTTGTTGCCATGCTAAACAGTTGGAAAAAACCTGAAAGGGGGGAATACTTAAATGTTTCAGTGAGAAATTTCATCGAACAGTTGGTGGGCATTACGGATCTCAACAGAATCTACAACAGCAACAACGATATAAACTTTCTGTTGAGTTTACATGAACCTAGAATTACAAAGAAAAAAAAACAAAAGATACTTCCATCTTAATTCGACCCAAATCTATCAGAAAGGGCAAAGGAGTCGAAGGGAGATTATCAGAATTGGAGGGTTTTAATGGATTCATGAAACCGAGAGAGAAGAAAGACTCTACCTTTGCTGATTCCGTATGTATAAACCTTTTGCTTCTGAATGTTCAAAGCTCTAATAACACCCCTTTCGTCACTGTTCTCAGAAAACTCGGGAGTGTGTGTTTTGCTTTAGATATGGGAGAGTTCTTAAACAATTCAATTCATTTTTAACAAAGAAAACAAATTAATTTTAATACTCACATTTTTTTTTTTTTTTTTGTCACCATATTAATACTCACATTAAAAACCAAAAATAGAGACCGAGACGGTTACACATGGCCGGTTTGGTACATTCTCACGTTTCGTACATAATCACCGGACGGTTTAGGCATGGGCAAAAAAAACCGGAAGCGAAAAATCAAACCGGAACTGAACAGAAATATCCGAAACCGGAACCAAACCAAAATCCTCAAAGGTTCGAATGGTTCTTATATTTATACATCCAAAATAATTGGAACCAAAACGAAAATCGAAGAGATACTCGAATATATAATAATATTAATTATATATATATATATAACATAACTAAATATATGATTTTAATTTAAAAATATATTAAAAGTATCTAAAAATAGTTGAAGATAACTAAATAATTATAAGGTATCCAAACTATCAAAAAATATATGGATAGTTTAATCCAAAATATCCAAAGTATTCCGAACTATCCAAAATTTGTATCTAAATCATTCTAATTATTTGATATTTTATCCTAAATAACCGATAATTTATCCGAACTACCCAAATCCGAATCGGAACCAAATGAGAACCAAATTTTCAAGATATTTTTTGGTTCCTAGTTTTACTATCCAAACCCAACCAAACCAGAAACTATCCGAACCGAACCGAAAATAGACCAACTAGTAAATGGATCCTCTAGCCTCCTATCTAGGCCTAGTGTGTTTCTTTCGCTTCTCTGTTTGAATGTCTGTATTGTATCATTTCGCAAGTTGGGTCTTAAGAACTTGAAGACATTTGTATTGACGCACTCTGTTTTATAAACATTACGATCCTTTGTTATAACTATAATCTTCTTTTGTTGTGTGATAATGCCCCCTTTGCTATCAATCTTCGCAGAGATAGTTTAGGAACGTACCAAGATAATTGTAAATAGCCAAGGTGAATAACTATAAGAGAAGAGCAAAGGAGGTTGAAAGCAAAATCTTGCACATTGTGTTGTTAACCCAAAAGCAAAACAAAATCTACACAACTCTACCAAGACAATTCAGGTACAAATCAGACATGAAACAATCTACAATCAAAATGATAAACACAAAAGGATTAGAAGAAACCGAGATAGCATAATAGCTGTTACTACGTGAATTAGACGAAATGTGAAAGACAAAAGGCACTAAGGTATCCTAATTGTCTATGGAGGATTACAGAGCAGAGAGAGCCATGTGTAATCGACTATCCTCAAGCATATACTTCTGCTTACCACACCTTGAGCTAGGCAAAACACAGCTCATAAATCCTAATTGTCTCTCCGCGTTCAAATAAAAACCTCAAGCTTAAAGCTCTTTCACATACAAAAAGAAGACAAACTAAACTAATCAATGAGAACCATACATATCTTGCTACCTACTTAACACCATTTGATGAACAGAAAATCTACATGATCAGACCATTAACTCCAGCTACTAAACAAACAACATAAACAAGACCCATTTGGTGTCAAAGTAAGAGCTATCTCTGCAGTGTCAAGATAACACTTATAAACTTTAAACATACACTAAACAAATCGTAAAACACTGATAACACTTCAGCATAATTCGGTTTTACATAAATCCATAAAAAGACTCCGACTTTACTTAACAAAGCAAACATAAATAGACAATAACGTTTATGAGAACCCGAATTCACAAAAGGATTCATTTTTTTAAACTGTTTGGATAACAGAATAAACAACAACCCTAGAATGAATCAAGCAGCTTCCTTCTTCACAGGAGCTGGATCTGGGATCTTGACATACCCCAACTTCTTCAAACAAGCCGCATCCGACTCCTCGTTCTCATAACTCTCTTCCTCCTCTTCATCACCCTCCTCACCACTCCTATTCACCACGATTGCCCAAACCAGATACATAGTCGCCGCGGTCAAGGCACCACACCCTACACCGAACAAGAGAGCCACCACGACGCTGAGGATATCTCTCGTGCGATCCTTGACGTTCTCGGAGAACGGTGATCGAGGAGTACGATCGGCTCCGATCCGAGGCTTCTCGGCGGCGGAGGAGAGGAAGAGAGGGACGGGGCGAGGGTAGAGACGGCGGATTGTGAAAACGGTGACGTATTGGGATTGGGATTGGGAGGAGAGGTTAGGGTTTGTTTCTGGGGTGATTGAGAGGGAGTAGGAGGAGATTAGGAAGGTTTTGCAAGGGCGTGCGGTGGTGAGTGAGAGGGAGCAGATGATGATCGCAAGGAGGAGGAGGGAGGTTGATGGTGACGTCATTGTTATCGTTTTTGACTTTTTCTTGTTTCTGCTTTGAAACAGATTCGGTGAAGAAGGGAATCATATTTTTTTATACTTTTTAGTTATTGAGAATTAGCCCCTTTATTTATTGTTTTTTACAATTAAGGTCCCTTAATTTCGGTAACGTTGGAAAACAATACACGGCGTTAATAAATGCATTGGTAACGTCGGATTAGGTTCTCTTTTGCATCTATCTATTATATAAAGTAATGTATCTCTCCCTCTAAACACTGCCACATAGGATGACATGTCATCAAGTCCACCTCAACATAAATGGGTCCCACATGGAAACTGTGTTTGTGTTTTGCGATTTTTTTTTGTCAACTTTTGTGTTTGCGATTTAGATGTCACGTGTGCTGATTCATGAAATGGGCTCCTGGCCATACTCTTATCTTTGTTTTCATAAAATTAGTGGCCCAATAACGGTAACATGAAATATTTTCGATGAAAGCCTCCTCCATTTCTTGTCTTCCTCTTCAATGAATTTTACGGTTTCAATCGCTTCGGTGTCCTCTGAAATAGAAAGTGAGCCTTTTAGTTTCCATGGAGCAGTGAACCTTTCATCTCAAATACATTCATCGCCTTCACAGATTATAACAAAACCGCCGTCCACCAAACCAACTAGACCACCACGAAGAACTGCCATCCTCCGGTAGCTGTGACTAAACTTCAACTGCGCTCTTGACAAGGCTATAACCCTCCTTTCGGGCACACAGTAAACCCACTGCTCTAAAACCTTTGAAGCTCATCTTCCAATATCCGACGAGTCTTCTCCGCCGTTCTCGAGGCAAATCAATCACGACACTCGCCCTTTCTTTATCTATAAAAGGGCAAGCCTTCATACCCGTGAAATCATCCACGTAATCATTATAAGCTCTCTCTTTATCTCTCAGTGGTTTAATTTTCCTTCTTCTATCGGCATGATATATTTCATGGATCAATTTTGTTTGTAATGAAATTCTAATCTCATTTTCCTAGATTTTCTTCCATGCTTTGACGACCGGGGCTCTCAGCCCTGGATTCGATTTCTCTTTTCGTGCCACTAACTATCACATGAAACATTTGATAATCTAAAAATTGCGGTAATCTCTCTTCTTCTGTTTGGATTATTGGATTTGATGTTTTGTCATAAGCATGTTGAGAGTCCTTTTTGGTTTCTATAATCTGTAGGTTCTGCTTTTATAGCGTGTGACCTGATATGCACGTATCAACAATCCTGAGAAACCTATTACGATCAAAGTGATGGACTTGTGACTTTGAAACCAAACCAAGATCAAGAATAAGCCTCCTCTGAAGTCCTTCCCATTAATTTAACGGCCTTGCCAATGTTTGTTCTCTATGAGAATGAGATGATATCATATATCTAATCAATGGTTTAGTGTGTTTGCTTTCAAATTTTTTTCCATTTCCTAACATCACAAGATATCTACAAACTTAACTTCCAGGTATGGCAAATTCTCATATCCACTTTTTTGATTTTTAGGCTGGCCACTGTAGACAGTTTGTGCTGACCCATCTCTTCGCTTATGGGGGGGGCTTGCAACGTGATAAAGGAGGCAAGCTTATAGGTTTTGCTTGACGTGAAGGTTCTCTTCTTTAACCTTAAAACCTTGCCACTCCAAGTTGTCCAATGCTCTGGTCTGCATTCGATTCACCACAAACACAAAATTTACGGTCATGTATCCAACATTTACCATCCAGCTTAGAAGGTCCGGTTTCGAAAGTATGAACAGCTACTGGCTCTGGCTAACGCTGACGTTGATTTGCCGGGTTTGTTTCTCAACTAATAACGTCCCAACAGACCTTTTTAAAAATCATATTAATATATCATGTTTACTCAACTTATGTTAACTAATGTTTTTTGCAGATGTTTCTGGATAGATGTTGTTTAATAACCAAAGATGTCAAAGAGTCACATAGGCGTAGGGGCACCAACAAAAACCAATCCGGGGAACCACAACGCAACACCTCGGAGAAGTAGGGTGCGTCCAGACTTACCTTCATGCTCTAAATAAGTCGTTAAAGCTCATATACAACAATCAGGAACCAAGAGGAGCCCTTCCTAGAGACACAGAGACCAGGAAGACCCTCTTGAGAGAATTTGTTCAGGTGTGTTAGATGCACGAACATGTTTCTTAAAAGTTTTAACATAAAAGTATAGAAAGGGAAAACGGAATTTCGTTAGAATGCAGGTGGCTTACTTTGCTTTTCCATTCTTGACGCTTACGAGTAGGCTTTTGGCACGAGTATGGGCACAATATATTTGTTTGGCAAGGTGAGTCTGTTTGGATCTTCTGCTGACAGGTTAATGTAGCGAACTGATTCTGATGTCCTATGTCTACAATTCATTTTAAGATGAAAAATACGTACAAGATTTTGTAACACCCGCATTTTCCAAATAATAAAATAAATAAAAATGTCTGAAATCTCCATTTATTAAATCGCATAAATCATCTCAAAAACTCCATAAATCCAAATAACGTAATAACTCTCGAAAATATCGATAAAAGCATAAGTCTGAAAATAAATAAATAAAACTCCCAAAAGCACCAGTCCGAAAAGATCACACTCGATC